CTTCTATTCCTCGCTGTACTAATCATCAGGGAAGACAGAATCATTGCTGCACTGGAGAATTTGAAGGGGTATGCAAAAAAAAGGACCCCATTTTCTTTAAGATACAGCAAGCTAAGGCTACAAAGGCATCATTTTTTTTCTGTTTATGGACCCATTCATGTTCCTCACTGTACATGCCTGGAAGTTAAAACCTTGTAGACAATGTATATGTACAAACCTATGAAAGACTATGCCAGCCAATGCAAATCCCACTGATTAAGGTATAACAAAATTACAAGAATGGAAACAGGTTTTCATAAACCAAAAGGTTTGCTGTACGTGGTCACCCTAGGAAACTACACAGTATCTCATCCACACTATAAATATAGAACTTTTTTTATCAAGCAATTTTTAGCCCAAATTCCCACGGCTGAGACTAAAACTACACATATGCTTCCAGGATGCTCTGGAACATGTGCCTTACTACATAGGCATTGTGGATCTGATTCTCAGGGTAAGCAGCCAGTCACACGTAGGGGTCCCAGGGGAAAGGGTGGGTGCAATATGAGCTCATCCTATAATAACAAAGGAAGGAGACACTCCGCCCTGCAAGTACAATACAAGTAAAGAAAGTGATGAAGGCTGAGTGATGTCTGTTTAATAATGGAAAGGTGGTCACAGAGGTATGCTCCAAATATGTGCATGAACAATAGAAACATAAATATTTTCAGATGCTAGATAGGTGCAGGAATACATTTTTTAATGTACAGTATTTCACACATTGGGTTTTGTAATAGAGACCAATGTGGTTCTGGTTCATGAGCGTTCATTTGAACTAGCCCACAGCCCTGGAACTTGACCTAACTCTGAAAATGTGTCCCCATAACCCAAAACTCACTTTTATGCCACTGTGTCGCACATTAATGCCATTGCTATATTGCAATACAATTCTACACTACACACTACCCAGATTGTTAAATTACAAACAGACTGTCAAATGAAAAAAGGCTGCCAAGAGATTGTCATTTTGTAGAGAGAAACCAAAGAACTACATAAAAAGTCTAGCCAGAGACTTTCTGGTTAAAGAGAGTGATTGACGTGATACAGAGATACTTCCAAGATATGTTGAGAGACTGCTGAGTTACAGAGAGTAATTGATGGGATACAGAGATACTTATGGGAGATGTTGAGAGACTGCTGGGTTACAGAGAGAGAGTTTGATAGGATACTAAGATACTTATGAGATGTTTGGGAGACTGCTGGGTTAGAGAGTGATTGTTGGGATACAGAGATACTTCCAAGCAGGGGCGCACTGACCATTTGGAAACTCGGGCACTGGGTCTGTAGGGGGCCCCATGAGATGCCCCTGGTACCTTTTTCATAGGCTTTTTTGAGTTTGGGCAAGGACACAGGGGCCCCATGATCCCCCTATTGCCCGGGGGCCTCATGAGTTGTCAGTCAGCCCCTGCTTCCAAGATATGTTGAGAGACTGCCAGGTTACAGAGAGTGATTGATGGGGATACAGAAATACCTCTGAGATACGTTTAGAGACTGCTGGGTTACAGAGAGTGATTGATGGGATTCAGAGATACTTCCAAGATATCATGAGAGATTGCAGGGTTACAGAGAGTAATTGATACAGAGATACTTATGGGAGATGTTGAGAGACTTCTGGAATACAGAGAGAGAGTTTTTATAGGATACAGAGATACTTATGAGGTATGTTGAGAGACTGCCAGGTTACAGGGAGTAATTGATGGGATACAGAGATACTTCTGAGATATGTTTAGAGACTGCTGGGTTATAGAGAGTGATTGTTGGGATACAGAGATACTTCCAAGATACTTTGAGAGACTGCCAGGTTACAGAGAGTGATTGATGGGATTCAGAGATACTTCCAAGATATGTTAAGAGACAGCTGGGTTACAGAGAGTGTTTGATAGAGATACTTCTGTGGTATGTTGAAAGACTGCCTAGTTACAGAAAGTGATTGTTGGCATATAGAGCTACTTCCAAGATATGTTGAGAGACTGCCAGGTTACAGAGAGCGATTGTTGGGATACAGGGATACTTCTGAGATATGTTGGCAGACTGCCGGGTTACAAAGAGTGATTGTTGGATACAGGATACAGAGATACTTCTGAGTATATAGAGTTGATTGTTGGGATACAGATACTGCTGAGAGGGGTATATTGTTGGAGATACTTGATATTGTTGGGATACAGAGATACTTCTGAGATATGTTGAGAGACTGCTGCTGGGTTATAGAGAGTGATTGTTGGGATACAGATATACTTCACAGATATGTTGAGAGACTGCTGAGATATGTTGAGAGACTGGGGTTATAGAGAGTGATTGTTGGGATACAGAGATACTTCTGAGATATGTTGAGAGACTGCTGGGGTATAGAGGGTGATACAGGGATACTTTTTTGGGATACAGAGATACTTCTGAGATATGTTGAGAGACTGCTGGGTTATAGAGAGAGTGATTGTTGGGATACAGATATACTTCCGAGATATGTTGAGAGACTGCTGGGGTATAGAGAGTGATTGTTGGGATACAGAGATACTTCTGAGATATGTTGAGAGACTGCTGGGGTATAGAGAGTGATTGTTGGGATACAGAGATACTTCCGAGATATGAGATAGAGACTGCTGGGGTATAGAGAGATTGTTGGGATACAGAGATACTTCTGTTGAGAGACTGGGGTTATAGAGAGTGAGAATATGTTGGGATATAGAGAGATGGGATACAGAGATACTTCTGAGATATGTTGAGAGACTGCTGGGGTATAGAGAGTGATTGTTGGGGATACTTCCGAGATAGAGAGTGACTTCACGAGATATGTTGAGAGACTGCTGGGGTATAGAGAGTGATTGTTGGGATACAGAGATACTTCTGAGATATGTTGAGAGACTGCTGGGGTATAGAGAGTGATTTTTGGGATACAGAGATACTTCTGAGATATGTTGAGAGACTGCTGGGTTATAGAGAGTGATTGTTGGGATACAGATATACTGGGGTTATAGAGAGTGATTGTTGTTACTTCACGAGATATGTTGAGAGACTGCTGGGGTATAGAGAGTGATTGTTGGGATACAGAGATACTTCACAGATATGTTTAGAGACTACCTTGAGATGTTATGTCCAGGTTAGAGCCTGTTATTCCCACTGCATGAAGATGTGGAAAATGAAGAATGCATACACAAAATAAATGGTTACACCCACACTTAATTACCCATAACAATTTTCAGTAATTTTGGGGGTTGTATATGAGATCCCTGCAGAATCTGGACCGGCTTTGTGACGCCAGCCGACAGCGGACTTTAGCAGCAGTTGTGCATCAACCATCAAGTGATTTTAATGCAGCTTACCAAATCCTTAGACCCCCACCACTCAAGAGGTGTAAATCAGCATTTAAAAGATAACAAGTCTCACATGGATGGAGGGGAGAATGAAGGCCCAAACTGGCCATAGGGCACACGGGGCAATTGAGATGGGCCGAATGTCCCAGAACAAGAGTTGCCTTTAATGCAGGGTGATGTGATGGTATGCTGTGAGTGCTGAGCGGTGAGTCTTCTGGAGCAATAATAGGCAGTGGGGCTGGAGCAGCGAAACAACGAGGCCGGATCGTACTGGAGCAGGAGAGTGGGGATGCAGTGTGCAGTGGACACCTTGGCTGTGACTGTGAGTGCTGGTGGAGAGGAAATCACGGCTGCAGGAGAGGGGATCATAGCTGGAGGAGAGGAGATAGTGGGTGCAGGAGAGGGGATCGCAGCTGCAGGAGAAGGGATCTCGGCTGGAGGAGAGGGGATCTGGTCAGCTGTACTGATGATAAGTGCCCAGATTATATGTGTACATGTCCCTTGTTACTGACTCTCCTCTTCTCGTGGTGTGACAGCGCGTGAGAAAAGGAATGATGATAAACGGCAAGTTTGTTTACATGTGATCAGCTGTGATTGGACACAGCTGATCATATATATGGTAAAGGGCCACTGTGATTTGTCCTTTACCGTGATCACAGAATGAGCCAGATGTGCTCCCCAGGGGGGGTGCGCGGAGGGCATGGTTCTGGGAGGGGCACCCTCTTGGAACAATAGAGCCATGCTGTAGCTATCTTTTGGCTATACCACAGGTAGGAAATGTGTAAAAAAAAAAAAAAGGGCTGTTCAGTCTAAAATGCCCAGGCCTATTTTTTTTCCCAGTCTGGGCCAGGATGAATGGCTCCAGCACTCTTCTCACATCTCAGCAAGCCTCAAGGCACACTTTTCTATGAATGGAATGCCCCAAAAGTCACTGGATCACTTCTGATATGCCGTCTCATCACCAAAAGCACATACTAAGGAAAGTGCAAGGAAATCCCAAAGTGAAGTACTGTTTAAAAACATTTATTAATAAATTAAGTGGGTACTCACAAAACAGACAGTATGAAAAGCATATCGCACAGCACAGCCGACTCTCTGGGCGGACGTGATGATGCCACCATTAAACTCTGTCCCCAGGGGGGACATGCACCCATACGATGTGTGCCAATCGATATGAGTGGGGCTGTCTGCACACAGATGTATGTAACACCTGTGCATCTCAAGCAGACAATGATGGTCCTTGTGCACATGTAAGCATTGATACACCTCATGTGAGAGAGGTCTTAGAGAGTAATGAAGCCAGGGATAGGCAAGCAACTATTTGCCCCAATTTACTTTTGATCCTTTTGTTTTGCAATTGTTTTGCAATTTCATGCATTTCTCTACACGCAACAGGGCTCAACATCAAAAACCCAATTCTTGCCTATTATAACTGTTCACATCTTTACGTTTGAAGCTTGAAGCCCAAAAAGATACATGAGCTCTTTTGGAAGTTGTATTGAGCATTTTTGGCCCTCTAGATCCTGTAAATGCTCAACACAAGCATTTTACGTGTTTTTGTGCCGGGAAAAATTAGAGGAGCAAGGCCTCGCTATGCTGGGTGTTGAGGCAATTATCCATAAGGAGCTGGCACACCCCAACCTTTATGCCTGCAGGGGCAGACTGACCATTTGGAAACTTGGGCAATGCCCAAGGGCCCGGGGTCAGTAGGGGGCCCCATGAGATGCCCCTGGTACCTTTTTCATAGGTTTTTTTTTTGAGTTTGGGCAAGGACACAGGGGCTCCATGATCCCCTATTGCCCGGGGGCCCCATGAGTTGTCAGTCCTTCCCTGGGCAGTTGTTACAGCTGTTGCCAATACTCTTAGGTGTTGATTTACTACAACTGGAGAGAGCGAAATCTGCTGCAGCTGTGCATGGTAGCCAATAAGCTTCTAAAGTCAGCTTCTTCAATTAAGCTTTGAAAAAAAAAAAAAAAAAAAACTGGAAGCTGATTGGTTTCTAGGCAGGGCTGCACCAGATTTGGCTCTCTCAAGTTTTTAGTCAATCAACCCCACAGAATAGCATCCAAAACACAAGAGCTTCAGGAGCAGAAGACAACATTATGAGAACACAGATTATACTGCTTGTCATTAGCTCAAATAAAAACGCCATGTGAAATGCCCATGTGAAAATGGTTGCAGAACAGTTCAAAAACATGCATCTACACGCACCAAAGAGGTACAAAAATAGCTTCAAAATCACCTGAAAAATGCTCAGTTCAGGGGTGAATGGGGGCTCATTTTTAGAGTGGGTCAGCAATGGCAGTCTCCATACTTCTCTCATATCAGGATCTTTTACTTGCATTAAAAAGTGTCAATACGTAGTTTTAGCCCCATTCGAACTTGAGCGTTTTTCTACTTATCTCCCTACTGACTACTCCCAACATGCCGAACCCCATTCTTTGTAATTATCCTTTTTCACATTTGGACACCTAGTTGTCCCACACTCTATGCCCTATGCTGAAAAAAGTACATGAGCTTTTTTTTCACGTATCCACACATTTTTGGATCCATAGATGTTGATCGGAGTGCCTACAAACACGCAATGCACGCATATTGGAGCATTTGTACGCCTGAAGAAATTCTCTCCTCCTCTAGCCCAGCCCAGGAAACTAAATCCTAAAGCTTATTTTACAAAAACACTTGCCTGTAATTCACCCAAAAGTTGGTGACTGTGATAGGCCAGGGCAGCTTTTAAAATCCAGTCCACATTTATTTTCTAAAAAAAAAAGAGTTACAGTGAACAAGAAGCACACATCCGGAGTAGGTGCTCTACAAAAGTGGAATTCAAGCCTAGCATTAACTGTTCTTAAAAATGTTCCCTCCCCACTTCCCCGTGTAAAAAAAAAGATTGGTATACTTACCTTTTTTAGTCTGTTTCACTCATGTGACCCTGCAGCTCCAACTCCCTTGTGTGACTCTGGGAGCCATGATATCATCCATAGGTTCTCATGGCCCAGCTGTTATCGGCACTCCCTCCTCTCCCCTGCATCTGCCACTCACTGAGACAGGGGAGATGGAGCTGCAGGTAAGCCCAGTTGTGTTCAAAATAATAGCAGTCAGACATCACTAACCTGATCAATCACTGTTTTTGGTAGAAATGATATTTCTACATGGCAAATAATTTACTAGCAGGTGTAGTAGAGTAATAGAAATCCAACAGACCCAATAGTCATGACATGCATGCTGCTGATTCTGTGTAATTGAATCACTAATTGAAAGGGGCATGTTCAAAATAATAGCAGTGTGGAGTTCTATTAGTGAGGTCATTCATTCTTTGAAAAACAGGTGGCAATTATTGCCCTTATTTAAGAAAGGAAGGCAGCAAATGTTGTACATGCTGGTTACAGTGCATTTCTCTCTGATATTCTGAGGAAAATGGGTCGTTCCAGACATTGTTCAGAAGAACAGCGTACCTTGATTAAAAAGTTGATTGGAGAGGGGAAAACATATAAAGAAGTGCAGAAAATGATAGGCTACTCAGCTAAAATGATCGCAAATGCTTTAAAATGGCAACCAAAACCTGGAAGACGTGGAAGAAAGTGAAAAAACTACTATTCGAATGGATAGAAGAATAGCCAAAATGGCAAGGACTCAGCCAACAATTAGCTCCAGGAAGATCAAAGAAGGTCTAAAGTTACCTGTGAGTACTGTTACAATTAGAAGACGCCTATGTGAAGCCAAGCTATCTGCAAGAAGCCCCCGCAAAGTCCCATTGTTGAAAAAAAGACGTGCTGAAGAGGTTACAATTTGCCAAAGAGCACATTGACTGGCCTAAAGAGAAATGGCGCAACATTTTGTGGACTGATGAAAGTAAGATTGTTCTTTTTGGGTCTAGTGGCTGGAGACAGTTTGTCAGACGACCCCCAAACACTGAATTCAAGCCACAGTACACTGTGAAGACAGTGAAGCATGGTTGTGCAAGCATCATGATATGGGATGTTTCTCATACTACGGTGTTGGGCCTATTTATCGCATACCAGGGATCATGGATCAGTTTGAATACATCAGAATACTTGAAGAGGTCATGCTGCCTTATGCTGAAGAGGAAATGCCCTTGAAATGGGTGTTCCAACAAGAGAACGACCCCAAACAGACTAGTAAACATGCAACATCTTGGTTCCAGGCCAACAAGATTGACGTTATGGAGTGGCCAGCCCAATCCCCGGATCTTAATCCAATAGAAAACTTGTGGGGTGACATAAAAAATGCAGTTTTTGAGGCAAAACCAAGAAATAGAGAAGAACTGTGGAATGTAGTCCAATCATCCTGGGCTGGAATACCTGTTCACAGGTGCCAGAAGTTGGTTGACTCCATGCAACACAGATGTACAGCAGTTCTCAGAAACAGTGCTTATACAACGAAATATTAATTAAGTGATTCAAAGGAAAGCAAAATCTTCAAACATTTTTCAGTTTATATAGTGAATGTTTCAGTTTGTAAAGAAGAATACAAACACTTTTTTTTGAACAGTCTAATATTCACTTTTCTTCAATTTTTTTACAGGAACAACACAAATTTGATATATTTTTCTTCATGTTTTGATTTGGAATAGAATGTGTAGTGTTCCCAATGCATTTGTGTGTATGGAAATAAAAGCTATTAGAAGGATTTTGAGCTTTATTCACTTTTTTCAACACACTGCTATTATTTTGAACACAGCTGTACATGGGTAGGAAGGATAGGTAGGAGGAAGGTGGAGGGAACATTGTTACTAATTATTAGTGTCAGGACAGAATTCCACTTTAAGATCTTGTGTACACTAGGGTTAGGAATGACCGGCATAAAAACACGCAGTCAAGATGCTTTTTGACCTTCTGCAATAGTTCTACCTTAAGCAACAGCAGTGGACAGGGTTGTACAAATGCTGCGGCCGTTATGCTTTTTTCTCAGCTATGGCAAGACATAAACCCCCTTTTGCGTTTGGCGGGCAGTACCATCTAACAATGGTGCCTTATTCACCTGAATGGGGCTGCGCCACAACCATTTGCAATGTATGCAGCTGCAGCATGGCAGCATAGGCTTTTGTGGGTTTCAAACAGGCGATGAGGAGGTGACATAACTTCTCTTCCCTGCCTGTCAAATGCCCTCTGAAAACCAGTCCACCACAGATCACTCTTCAGACAGCTAACAATAGCATAAAATAGTCCTAGCAGAGTTTTTCTTGTCCCTATATTATTTGCTCACTTGTCAGCTCAACAGAGGTTTTTTAAAACTTTTTTTTTTACAGTTACTAGTTGAGTTAATATCATTCAGTGGGGGGGGGGGGGGGGGGGGGGGATTTCTATGCTGAGGCTGCTGCAGCGTGTGATGGCCTTTGTTCGAGTCATTATTTACGCCCCTGGGGACCCTCTCCCTCAGTCACCCAGAGTTCAACTTAATATCAGAGAATGGGAAGATTGCTTCTAAAAGGTTCAAAGGTGTGGAAACTAGGGCAGGAGCCAAAACATGAGGAAGCATGCAACTGACAAGGGGGATCATGCAGAATATATAGTGATACTACCCTGAAACTGGACAGCTTTACCAAGGGTTTGGGTTCAAAGATTGCCATGTACATATCAGGACTAATCATTTTCTGGCACAATTATTTCTTTCTGCGAGCCTTTCCCGCAACCTTCATAGCATTTATGACTGCACATATTTCATTTGGGACTTTGTCAATAGAATATATTTATGAGATGCATGCTTCACGGATATTGACGCATTCATTAGTTGCTTTAAGCTAAAGGTCAATACTGCACACAGAAACATTTCTGTACAGCTCTGTGACGGCTGCCATTTGCCTATGACAGATTCATTGTTTAATTGGGTAGTACAGGTCCAAAGCAATGTCAGGATCCAATGATACAGTTTGGTCTGTGCTACAGCATATATAGAAAAACAAAAGTGACCAATTCACGATGGAAGTACTGTGAACAGAATTTATAACACAAAGCCAGAAATTATATTGTAAAGTTATAGAGCCTGGACTTTAAAGAGGCCCTGTCATGTCTTGCAAAAAATCTACTCACTGTCCCCTGCTTTTGAAGAAGCTAAATACTTACATCCCTGACTGATAGCTGTCTTCATGAGCTCTGGGCACCTATTCAATACTTCTGGGTGTGTCAAACAGCATGCCCCCTGCTTCAGGCAGCATGAATAACTCCACTGGGAACCAGCAAGCATTCAGCTACTTCTATTGCAGGTGGAAGCTAGCTAATTTATCTGCAATAAATATCACAGCTTTTATGTAAACCATAGATTTTATTGGCTAAATTATTGTTTAGATATACAAGGCATGAAAACACATTTAAAGGTTTCTCCTTTAGGGTGTCCATAAATTCTGGAAACATAGAAAATATAACTAATATTACATAGTTACATAGTTAGTCTGGCTGAAAAAGACAAAAGTCCATCCAGTTCAACCATAAAAAAAAAAAAAAATTATAATCCTATACCCACAGTTGATCCAGAGGAAAGCAAAAAACCCAGCAAAGCATGATCCAATTTGCTCCTGCAGGGGAAAAAAATTTCTTCCTGATCCCCCGAGAGGCAAGCAGATATTCCCTGGATCAACTTTACCAATAAATGTTAATATCCAGTTACATTCTATGTATCCAAGAAAGAATCCAGGCCTTTTTAAAGCAATCCACTGAGCTGGCCAGAACCAACTCTTGAGGGAGTCTATTCCACATTTTCACAGCGTACTGTGAAGAAACCTTTCCGTGTTTGGAGATTCAATTTCCTTTTCCTCCAGACGTAAAGAGTGCCCCCTTGTCCTCTGCGATGACCTCAGGGTGAATAGCTCTACACCGAGTTCACTATATGAACCACTGATGTATTTATACATGTTGATCATATCCCC